CTATGGGACCTGACTTCTACTGGACGTGACCTTTCCGAGGCTCTCTTCGTGATGATATATGCCGTCAGGCAACCATACATGCAACGAATCACCTCTCTCGACAACTCGCTGTTTTCGAGAAAGAAGAAGAAGAAGACGAAGACGAAAACGTCAACCTCCAAGCCCGGCCAGTTCCAACGAAAACCGACGCCCACGAAACCCGTCACAAGCTCGCATGTCTCCGTGCTCCGTTTCCCAACTCACACCCAACCCCAGCTCAGGCGTCAAAACATCGAGTCTCCTATGAAAGTCAGCCAGTCACAATCATCCCATCACCCTCAAAGGAGCCGGGGACTCGGTCTCTATCCCCCACCAGGATCTTGAGACTCGTGGAAGAAAGAGGATGAGGTCCTTCGATCAGCAACAAAAGCAAGACGGAGTCAGGCGTGAGAAGCAGGGAAACCAAACCAGTTCCCTCAGATTTGCGTTTCCTACAGTGCAAGGCTGGCTGTTGGACATTTGGGAAGAGCCGAGTACACCCCTGCTTCGACGGCATGGTTTCGAAGTATATTAAGTCCATCGTCACCTCTCATCTTCAGTTGAACATGGTCAAGATATAGCAGCATATCGAGCTTATGTATTAGACAGAAGCCAAACCCACAAAGAGAAGCCGAAAGGTCCTGTACCTCACTACACAAATGACATCACTGCATTATTCCCACCATAAACCATTAGTAACTGTCGTCTGTTTCTCATTAAAAGAACCGGGTTACGGATCTTCGGTGTAGTGGTTGTGTGTCTGTGTGTGTGTGTGTCGGTCTTGGTATGGTACAGCATCATCACCCCGATCCCCTTAGGCTTTCCCCCTCCCTTTCCCTCCTTTCCCCATTTCCCCCCTTTCCTTTCCTTTTCTCCCAGAAAGACAAATTCTCTCGGTAAAAGCAATGGGACGCCAAAACTTTTGTTCATGCTGATCCCCCCTTTTCCTCCCAAGTGCTCCCCTTTCCCCTTTGATTCCGTTCCAACTTCGCCCAAATGTACAGGGAACTCCATCCTTGACCGCCATCAAATTTTTGGTTGTGGTAGTGAAGAAGTGAGAAAGAGCAAGCTCAAAACGTTGTTTGCGCTGGGACAAAGGTAATCATCCCCGGGGAGAAGGAGTTGCCTTGCCACGAGCGCGGATGCAAATGCTGGAAAAACGCAAGCGCGAGAAGAGAAAAAAAGATAAGAAATGAGAAATGAAAAGAATCGTCGGGGGGTGTAAAAGTACAGGAAACGGTGTGTAAATCCACGCCCTTGCCCTGTGAACTCCTTGCAAAAGAAATCAAGGTGACTGTAGCTTTTCTCTCCTTCGTCAGTGATCGTCTGACGACCGTGAGAATATTGTTGGTTTGGGAAGTAGTGAACTCGAGTTTGAACGTCGTGGTGGTCGTGGGTGATAGACATCTTGGTGTAGGGGGTGGTAAATACACGCAAGATAGTGGATGATAGGATCGATACTTCGTGTCGGCATCGCCGGTCAAAAGCTCTTTTAGGCAGATGTGACCTTGAACGGCGCTGCTAGCACATGACTGTCCTGCTTTAAGCAGCAGTCTGGGAAGCACCACGGCCACGGACGCTGCCGCGGCCACGGGCCTGACCACCGGTGAAGTTACCGCGGCCACCTCCCTGACTGCCGGAGCGGTTTCCTCCTTCGAAACCACCACGGCCACGGCCACCGCCGGTGGCGTTGCCGCGGGGGGTGTTGGAGGAGTAGCTGCTACCGCCGTAGGCGTTGGCCTTGGGGCGACGAGGCTCGACGATAATGTTCTCGCCGTTAACGGTGTGGGGGTTGGCAGCGGCAGCGGCCTGGTAGCCGGCAACAGTGGCGAACTCGACAAACGCGCAGTTCTATTCCATCATTAGCCTGCCACTCAACATCATTCAGGGCACTTGATATCTTACCTTCTGGCGGTTGATGTCGAAGTAGGTTAGCTCGCCGTGGGCAGCCAGAGCACCCTTGAGGTCCTCGGCCTTGACCTTGTCAGTCACGTACTTAACGTATCCCAAGGTGCCGTAGTTCTCGGTGGGTGCCTGGGAGATGGACTGAGGGCGGTTCTGGCGCTTGGAGTCGGCTCCGACGGACTGCCACTCAGCGGAGGGAGAGTCCTCCTTGGCGGCCTGGGCCTGAGCCTCCTTAGCGGGGGCATCGGCAGCGGGTGCAGCCTCCTTGGCGGGAGCGGCGGCGGCGGGAGCAGCAGGGGCAGGAGCCTTGGCCTGGCCAGCGGGAGGAGTGGCGGTCTTGGGAAGGGGCACGACAGGCTTAGGTCCGACGGCGGCGGCAGCACGGCTGGCCCAAGACATGGGCTTCATCGGGACGGGCGCGGGGGCGACCTTGGGCTTCTCGGGTTCGGCGGCGGCGGGAGCCTTGGTAGGAGCGACAGGGGTGGGAGAGGGGTCGGCAGGCTTCTCGGGCTCGGTGACGTCCTCCTCGGCAATCTCCTTCGCAGCGGCCTCGGGGTCAGCCGCGGGCTCCTCGACCTTGGTCTCAGCAGCCTTTGCGGGCTCGGGAACCGCGAGCTCGGCATCGCCGTTGTTGGAGGCGACGTCCTCGGGGGCGGCGCTAACCTCCTCCAGCTTCTTCTCAACCTCGTCAACATCGATAGCGGGGCCAGTGGCCTCCTCGGGGGTCTGCTCGATCTTGGGCTCCTCAGCCTCTGCCTGAGCAGAGACCTCGGCAACCTCCTCGGGAGCGGCTTGCTCCTCAGGGGCCGCTTCAGCCTCAGGAGCGGCCTCTTCCTCTTCCTCGTCGTTGATATATCTCAGGATGTCGTTGACGACGAAGTAGCCAGAGGGCTGAGGCGCGAGGACGAAGGTCTGAACAAACTTCTTGGGTTCGGCGGACTTGATGGAGCTCTCACCGATGACCTGGATGACGATGTTGTCGAAAGAGGCCTGGGAGTCGACGTTTGTGATGCGGACTTTGCTGTTCTGGAAGTCGAGGCTCTTAATTCTCTCTTGGATAGTCTAGGAAGTGCGATGGTCAGCATGATTGAGCTTTTCGAAAGGCGTCGAAGTAGCACATGGAAAGTTGGAAGAACTGACTTGTCTGCCGACGGACACGTTTGCGACCTCTGCCTCCATACCATAAACGAACTGGGAGCGCTTTCCGTAGAAGAGCTGTGGATACGTGTCAGTATTCAAAGAATCATCTCGGAAGGGGGGCCGAGTTGGATGCGTACGTGAAGCTTATCCGGGTTCTTGCTCAGGGTTGTGTAGTATTGCTCGACAAAGTACCAGCCAACCTCATCCTTAGAGAGGTTGCTGTTTCCAGCCGAGACGGCATCGTTGGTTGAGGTGGGACCTGATGATGTTGGCTCGACAGCGCCCTTGAACTGGTCCGGGTGTGTGTAGTTACCGTTGGTTGCCATGATTGCTTCTGCGAAATCTGGATATCTGGGCGCAATCGGACCGAAAGGAAGGTAGAAGGGAGGAGGAAGACGGCGATGGAAGGTCGCGAGAGGGCGAAAGCTCGAGGTTTCTGCGGGGCTATTCGCTTTTGCTTGCGGGGAGGTTTCTTCTTTCGCGGAAGGATATTCGATAGCTAGGACCCTTTGAACGATGGAATGTTAGGATTACGATATGCGCCAATGGGAGCGGAGGGTGAAGGATTAGAAGATTTAAGCTCGGAGGAGAGGAAGAGCAGATGCAAAGCGAGCGATATGGATGACCAAAGAGCGTACCTCAAAAGATGCGTTGGGCCGTGGGGGAAACGCTCAGAAGTGACTCGAAAGAGGTTTGATGACGGAGAGCCGAGGACGGGAGGGGTGGAAGACGGGAGGAGGAAGAGGAGGATACGCCGGAAAAAGGGTTTCGACGACGATGCGAGGGGGCGGCGGGAGCTTGAGGTGGAAGAAGATGGAGACGCGTGACGAGAGCAGCAGCGATGTGCGGAGATCAAAAGAGAGAAGGGATGGTCGATGGGAAGGGTGGAAAAATGAATGTGCACAGTTCAGAGGCAGAGGGACACTGGGATAAAACCGGCTCAGGGTGTGTGTGTGGGTTTTTTGTGTGTGTTCAGTTCAGCAGATCTGGTCGTTCGGGGCGGCGGCGGCGGCGGGCGGGTTTCTCTGAAGAAGAGCGGAGCGGGTTACGAAGTGGGAGGAGAGAGTGGGACGTGGATGTGGATGTGGATGGTCTTCTTTTTTCTTCCTATTTTCTAATTTTCGTTTGCGGTCGAAATGTCGTGAGAAGCAGGGAGGGACACTTTTTTGGGCTTCCCGGGGTACCAACCGTAGGTACCTTACCTTAGCACAGGCGCAATCCGAAGATGTGGAAAGGGCAAAGGAACCAAGAAGAAAAAAAATAACACACAATTGTTGCTGCCAGACCACGACGTGCCCTGTGCTCCTCTAACTAGGCACGTAGGCCACGGTTCTCCTGCGGCAGGCGACGCCAGGCCTGGGAGCTGATTACCGACCCAAGTGGGGTTTTGCTGTGCACAGATCCTGATACATCTGGGAGCTTCCCTGATACTTACGGTCCCGGCAACCTTTGCTGAATTTTGGAAGTCCCCGGAAACCATCTCAAGTATCGAAAGACTGGCTTATATAATCAGGGTAGCACGCAAAACCCAGAGCTCTTGGCCAAGCTCCCCAGCTCCAGCATCGAAGCAACTGGTTCAAAGACGTAGAATGGCGACTGCCATTGACCAATGCTTCGATGGGCGGAGCGCTTGATGCTCTGCCAGGTGCATGTTCCATATCTGCCTGATAACCGGCTGTCCTTTGATCTCATTCAAAGAGGCGCATCGTCCTGTAATGCCTGTCCATTCTCCAAACCACCGATACGTTGTGGCAGAGTATTACCGAGGCAAAGGACAAAGCTAATAATACGGGTGTCAGCGCAGCAAACCTCAGTTTTTTGTTCACACACTGCCTTTATTAGCTCCCTGGCCGGATGCTTTCCCCATGACTATACAATTATAATGATACAGTGGTATTGTTGTTCGATTTTCTATCGAACTGACCAAAACAGCAATTTTATTCAACCCAGCCAAAAACCTCGCTCACCGCCATCGTGTTGGATCTGACACCGATGAGCGTGATGACAAGTCCAACCAAGTCTACCACCAGCAGCAGAGCCGCCGCCATCATGAAGCGGGGGCTGAACACTCTGTACAGCATGAGATGTCTCCTCAGCCACCCGGCCCACGCCATGGTTGCCAAAGACTCAACGGCGAAGTAGGCAACAAATATGCCCAGCGCTCTGCCGACGCTCTCAAGTACTCCCTTCCTCTTAGGACTCACTTTCCAGAGTACGATGAGAGGAACGGCCGCGACCGCAACGATTTGACCCGCGAATGTGTTGAGGGCCATGACGATGGGACTCCATGGGTATCTGATGGTGAATAGCGGGATGAAAGCGCTGTCCCATTGGAGACTGCTGAGTGTAGCTTGGTGGCCTGTCTTGAAGTACCCAAAGTTGCCAATGATTGCAAGCATAATGGGTCCAATCGCCTCGTTTGTCAAAGAGTTAAGGTCGAGAATCTCCACGAGCGAGAGAATCTGCCAAAACATCAGGGCCAAAGCGCCACCTCCCATAGGCTTGGACAGGAGGATGCAGGCTCCTACAATGTTCATCGGAAGAAGCAGATATCTCGAGCCATGCGTGTTGCCATAACCCAAAACAGTGATCTGGGGGCCGGCGTTTGTAGGTGTTCTGAAGATAGAGACCAGCGGCGGCGCCCAGACAAAGGCGGTAGTGCCCGCTACGAAAACCAGAGCGAGAATCACCTGGGCCATGTAGGTTCCGGCGTTCTTCAGGGTCTGGGCCGGCAGGTCTGGAAACCAATCGCCATTGTCGGCGGCATCGAGAACCCAGTATGATGCTGATAGAAGCAAGCCAATGCGGTAGACATAACCAATCCATGCTGGTCCAAGCCCCTCCCAGTTGCGAGTAGGCAGAAGGAAAGACTGGATGATGGAAGGCAGGATAAGGGCGACGGCGAAAGGAATGGCCAGTTGCCAGGTAGAAGACGTTGAGGAGGTAGCCGAGGAATAGTAGGTCGAAGTACAGTAGGGCATTTGCTCCTCACGGCAGAGTTTGGAAAATGATGCGAGCCGACCAAGAATGACAAAAAGAACCGAATGGTATATCGCGAGGGTGCGTTCCCGCATCGTAGGCACCGAGAACGCAGCAAAGACGTTCGCTACGCCAAAGGTCGTGATGAAGAAGAGGAGGATCGAATCCTCCCAGATGGTGTATGAGTTTGATGCGAAACCAATGGACTGGCTGACCGTGAAGAGAACGGCAAGCCAACCCCAGATATTGTTGGGCAGAAGATTGCGAAGAGTCTTGCCGAAGCCATAAAGCGAGAACACGACACCTAGCGCGCTAGTGACAGCGCCGCCAGCAACAGCGTAGACCAGATCCTCGGGGCCGGTGAAGACGGAGTATCCGGCGCCAACCAGTGCTCCAGGTACAGCGCCGAGAATTGCCGCAAGGAAGATCTTCTCGTGGAGAGTCTTGTACGACGCAGTTCCATCGGGTTGGACACCCTGCAGTTCCAGCTTCATCTCTGCCTGGTCCAGCTCGAGATCGTCGAGAACAGCAAAGTCCTCATCTTCGTCGCGCGAGGCATAGACGAGCAGAGTAATGACTCCGACCGCCATGACCACAATACCCGTCACCATCTTGGGCACATCGAAACGGGCCCACAAGTCCTTGCAGATGCGCAGAGTTTCCTCCTGGAACATGTTGAAAAAGCCGTAGGATTCCTGGTGATTCTTCCACTGCCATGAACGGTCGGCCTTCCTCCAGAGGTTCGATACGTGACCGGCCGTGGCGCTCTTGGACTGATCAATGCCACGGGCAGCAAAGTACGAGTCTTGGTATCGCTGGATGCCGGCGGCGGTCAACCGTGATACAGCCGCCAGATTATCCCAGGCTTTGCCCTTCTTGCCAGCGAAAGCTTCCTCAATGGGACGTCCCAGATTATTGTAAGGGATCGGGATTCCCAGAAGAAGCGCCAGAGTTGGTACAAGGTCAATCTGATTGACCGGTCTGACCTTGGCCATGCTCGGGGGCTGCTTGAACTCGGGCTTGGTCCGACCAAAGAAAGGGCGCTTCGAGTACATCCACAGAGCTGCCTCGACCTCGTCGTCGCTCTCGCCGCCATGGTCGCCCTTGCTATCCATGCCGTGATCTCCCATCACGACGAGCAGAGTATTGTCATCGATTTGAGCGGCAAGATCGCGGATGAAGATATCCATCTGCTGGAGCTTGGCCGTCATTGCCGCATGGTTTGGTCCGTAACGATGGCCGGCGTGGTCGACACCAAGGAGGTGACCGATGAGAACATCCCACTTACCCTTCTGCTCCTGCTTGAGGAGAGGAAAGATGTGATCAATAACCCCGTTGTCGACGGTATGCAAGTCCCAGACGTTGAAGCTGTCGTACGCTCTGCTCACGTTGGCCTCGAAATAACCGGGGAACAGAGACATCCAAGTATCGTCGCCCAGGTGCGCGATGCGCTTCCCAGCGTCCTTCAGTTGCATGAGAAGATTATCCTCCTCAATAGCGGTACCAGCAAAGTTGCTACCGGCATCGATGAACGTGGGCAGTGTACCAGTGGTCAGACCCTTCAGCCTCTGGAGAGTAGTAGTCGGCGGGTCGGCGATAAAGGGGCGCAGGAAAGCGTGTTCCGGGGACTTGACGGCAGTCTCGTGCAAGAAGGGTAACGCGTTGTGAAAAGGAGCCTGGTCCTCCACAGGAACCGTAAAGTCGTACCGCAGCGCATCGACGATGACGACCACGGCCTTGTCAAACGACTTTGGGTGCCAGCAACCGCCCTGGACCGTGCCTTGGCCCTTCCAGCTCGACGAGAGCTCGAGCGGGGGTGCCGTACAGTTGGACTTCTCGTCGAGGACCAGTCGCGTCAGGAGAAAGCCGCTGGTGAAGAAGGCGATGCCAATAGCATGTAGACACAGCATCCACGCCCAGAACGCAACAGTCCACCACCATCTACGCTCGTAGGCATTCTTGCGCCGGCCTTCAAACACCTCGCGCTGCTTCTCGCGAAGGAGTGCTCGTTCTTTTTCCGCCTTGATCTCCTCGGGGGATCTGCTAGCCTCCTCAGTCTCCCTTTGGCGCTTCAATTTGGCGAATTGCTCGGCGATGGCTTTGTAGTCGGTGGGCGGCGGACCCTTCGGTTTGGGGGATTTTTGAGGCATTGTGGCTTGTCTTAGCTGGTAGCGTGTTCACAAAAAGAAGAAGGAAAAAAAGAGATGAAATATTAAGGCCGGCACTCGATGGCCATTGGGTTAAAGGAAGCTGTCAAGCCCCTGCTTTGGAGTCGTGTTCGTGTGTTGTGGCTGCTTTGCAGATCGCAGCATGTAGGAGAGACGGTTTCGAACTGACGAGAGGAGCTCAAAATTGGGAAGTCCACCAAGTTCCGGCAGCAGCCGCAGCGGCAGCTGTGGTGGGGCGGACGAGAACACGATTCAGGGGCCAAGGATCCTGCACCTTTTGGTGCCGGCAGCCCCTGAGCCACTAACAGAGCTTGGATTGGGATGAGTATGTCATCACCGATGTTGCACATATAACAGAGCAGTGCCGAGACATGCTTCTTGGAGGTAGCTTCTGTTACTCAGACATACGTTAAGGGAGATTAATTTTCAAAACTTTTACTTTTCATAATTATCATGTAATGCGTTATCCCAATACTGAACTCCAAAACCACGCGAAACTGGACTGGGCCTAATACAAAGGAAGCAGAGACGTCTCCCTTCGATCTCTTCCACCAGACGAGATTGGACAACTGCTGGGCAACAGCTGACAAACACAAACCACCTTATTCAGCCGTCAGCTCGGTACTACGGAATTTTCGAGCAGGTATGTTGAGCTTGAAAAGCTCATCCATCTCGGCCTGAGTTCTGTCCCGGACCTCCGGCAGACAAAAGTAGGCCCAGACGTAGAAGGCGGCGTTGATAGCAGCGTACACCAGCGCCGTCCGAGGTCCAAGACCCCATCCGTTAGGAGCGCTTTCCAGCATTCTTGGCAAGAGCCACATGTTGAATTGTCCTGCGATGAGATAGGCTACTCGGCCGATGACAAGTGTCTTGGCTTTCTGTCGGGTCGAAGGAATCTCGGGGTTAATAGCGTACACGAGAGGTCCGATGGAAAGATTGTAGACTCCTGTGAATATCACGAGCATGACTGCGATGACCCAAGGAACTGCCGGGTGCTGGTCGCTGTGGAAACCTAGCACGCCGACACCTGTCATGAGAATGATGGAGCCCATCAATCCCCAGAGCCAGATGGTTCTGCGTCCGACGTAGTTCATCAGGGGCCAAGAAGAGACGATGCCGATGATGCCGATCGCGTACTGAATCAGCGTGAAGTCGTATGATTTGGAACTGCTCATGCCAGCCTTCTGGTATAGCTTGGCCGAGTAGAACATAAGAGCCGAACCGCAGAGCTGTTGCGTCAAGTTCATGGTAACGACGATCATGGTACGGCGAAGGTTGGTGCCACGGAAGCACTCCAGGTACGTGATATTGGAATCTTCTTGGCTGTTCTTCTCCTGCTCGTTGGTGAGCTCGAGAACCTTGACCTGACCGTCAACTGGGTACGTCGGATCTTTGTTGAGTCTTGCAAGGGAAGTGCGCGCGAGGTCGGAACGAGACTGGCGCATGAGCCACCAAGGCGATTCGGGGGCAAGGAAGACGCAGAGGAGAACAGGAAGAGGCCATATCCATTGGATGCCGACGGGGATGCGGTATGCCATGAGGTCGTTGGATTCAATGTTCGCAACACCCTTGATTGCCGCCGTCGAGAAGAGCTGGCCGAAAATCCAGCACATGGAGACGAAAGTGGTTAGAGTCGGACGAAGCTTGAGGGGCGAGATATCGGAAGCATAGGGAAGAACGCAGGCCTGGAAAGCCCCCCAAGGGAGTCCCAAGAGGAACTCGCCGGCGAAGATCATGCCGAGACCAGCCTTATAGCCTCCCGTGGGCAAGACCGCCGGCGCGAAGAAGTTGACGAGTAGGAGCACCATGATCGATCCGAGAGAGAACATCATCGTCTTTCGGTAGCCGAACCTGTCCATGGACAAACCGGCGAAGTACATGGCCGCAACTTGACCGGCCTGGCTTGAAGTAAGGATCAAGGACTGCCAGAGTGTTGGGATCTCCTTGACAGCGCCCTCTTGCGGAGCGTAGCCGAAGAGGTTCTGGAACTGATCCAAGGAGAAAAAGTTGCCCATCAGAGCGAGGTCGTACCCCTCGCCGACGATGGTCATGGCGAAGAATATGGACCATTTGATCGCGGGGAGGTACTTCGAGACGGTCTGCATGTAGTTGTGATGCTCTTCGTAGTCTCTGGCAGCCTTGGCCTCCGGGTTGGAGGCAATCGTATCGGGAATCTCCTTATCTTGTACTTCCTGTACAGAGGACACGGGCTTTTCGTGTATAGACGACATGATGAAATGGGCAATCGATGGAATACTGCTGAAGCTGAGTTGTAAACATGGAGTTGACGAAATGCCCGACCCAGAATGTGTTGAACGAAGCAATGTTATCTGAGGAGAAGGAAAAGGCCGAGGAGATATGTGTAGGATGGCAAAGGAGGAAGAAAAGAAAAAATACAAGACCGATGGAACGAACTGCAGGTGTCCATAGCCCACAGCGGTTACTGCCCTCCGAGGTCGAAGTGGTCCATGACACGAGAGTTCCTTCTCCATGACACGACAGAGGGAAGCCTTCGTGGGGGCACCATTGCTATGACAAACTTTAAACAGATAACGACTGTGGTTATTGATGCCCACCAGAAGACGCCACATTTATCGAGACCTGGGTATCTTCAACCAACCCTCAGGGTTGCGTGGCTGCGTGGATCATGCGCCCAAGGGGAATCCCCAGACGGATGCAGCGAAGCCCCATGGGGTTCGAAGTCTTTTCATCACGGTTTCTTCGGCCTCCGTGATTCTCACTTGACTAAAGACTTGCGTACCATACTTTGCAAATATTGGGCGTTTCCACCTCCCCACAATGAACCAGCGGTCAGGTGGAAGTACACGACGTAGGTAATGCGGAGGCAGCGCCGACATCAATCAATGCTGTCTAGTCACGGCGAGTCTTCGGCCTTATTGGACGTGGGAAACAACCTGAGTAGGATGCGGCTTTCAAGGCATCACATCACGTACAATCGGTCCGGCCATGCTCTGGTATTGTGTTCCGAAGTCATGATGGTAACTGGATCCCAGTATACTGATGTTGATGGGCGTCACCGACGCCGCGGGCTACCCTCGCTACCTAATGGTTTTCTTTTTGGGAGTGTCATGAATAACATGTCCGGTTGGTCTATTTATCCGTGGACAAACTATTCAATTCTGCCATGACCTGAAACAGGGAACAGCCTCTCGCCGAACGCGCCGCAGATTCTTCATCGTCTTGAGTCGCCGCTCCGATGTCTGGAGCTGTAATAATCCCGATCTCTATCCCTATCCCGCTCCCTCTCCCTATCACGGTGCCCACCCCCATACCTATCCCGATCTCGGTCCCTCTCCCGCTCACGATCCCTCTCATCCCTATAGCTCTCACCCCTCCGCTCCTTGCGCTCGCTGCGCCTCTTCTCCTCCTCCCGACGATACTCGTCCAGCCGCGGCCGTCCGCTCTTCTTCTTCCCGCCGTGGTTCCACTGCCCCAGATCCTCGGCGCCCTCGAGCTTCTTAGCCCCCAGGCCGAGCTGGTTCTGCCGCCTCTCGGTCGGCTGCTTCTTCTTGGGCCCGCGCATCTTGCCGTCCCAGCCCATGCCTCGCAGCAGCGCCGCGCCGAACTCGCCGTCCGGTATCGCGTCGTAGTCTGCGAGCGTCGCGTCCTCGCCCACGTGCTTGATGTCGGAGAGGTAGGCATCCTGCTCCGTGGCCTGGATGACAATGTCTTCTTCCTCTTGGCGCTTGTTTCCGAGTAAGGCGTCCATGGCGTCTTCGTCCGCTGTACGAGGTGCCCGTTTCTCCTTTGGTGATCGATCGCGGTCCTGGCCGTCGTTGTCGTCGTTTGCTGCTGTCTCACCCTGCTCTCTGGGTGTGGTTCCCTCTTCGCTCGTCTTGCGCTTCTTGACGGTCAACCCCCATTGTATCTGCTTCTCAGCATCGGCGGGCTCTCTCTCTACCTCCTGCTGCGCGCCGTTCCGTTCCTGCTCTCGCTGCGCCTGCACCTCGGCAGGCAACAGATTCTTGCCTCCCCGGCGCCCGCGCAATTCTGCCTTCCAGTCGCGGTTGCTCTGCTTCTCAATCACCAGCTCGCGGGGCTTCTTTTCTCGTTTCCGATCAGAGTCGCCGCCGAGTTCTGTAATCGCTTCGTGTCGTCCCCGGCCATGATCGCGCTCGCCGTCCGAGTCCGAGTCAAAGTTGTTCAGCGCATTCGTTCTTGACCGTTTGCCGAGTGATGAAGGTGGGTCTGGGCGCGAGGGTTTCTTGTTATTTTTTGAGCTTGAGGAGCCGCCGAAGCTGATTGCTATCCTTGGAGCTTTCGTACCGTCTGACATGGCGCTGAGTGTCGACGGGGTTGTGATGTGAAATGCTTTGACAGAAAGAGAAATTTCGTGGTTGTAGCCTGGCACGCTGGTTCACACGAAGTAGTGGTCGGTTCACTTTGCGACGTCAACTTGCAGGGATTAGGATGTAGTGGCATTATGTAAGGTGGGGCACACTTTCTACACGACAGCTCAGTCGCAACAAAGCTATCCGAATGCAGAAGCTCTTATCTACGGGACCCTTGGAACAGCACCTTGAAATCTGGAAATGCATCTATATCGACTTCCCCTGATGCCCATCAACATGCAAAACGCCGTTTCCTCCCACGCAATGTAGTTTTTAATTTGTTAAGGCCGACCTTTCTCTAGCTTTGACAAGCTTAGAAAGCGAAGATCTGATCCTCGAGCTTGCTCACGGGGCGGGCCTTCTTGAAACCAAGAGTCTCGGCCGTCTTCTTCAGACCGCTGACCATGGGCGGGGGACCGCAAAGCAGAAGCTTGACGTCGTCGGCAGCCTTGGGGAGAAGCTTCTGTAGTATAGGTTAGCTCTGCACGCAGAAAACGAGATCCACTGGGAGGCCTTACGGTAATCATGTCGCCGGTGACGTAACCGACGCCGCCGGTCCAGTCCGCAGGGGGCTTGTCAAGAACGTAGTGCACACGGAAGCCAGCGTCCTCCTTGGCGAGAGCGTCCAGGTCCTCCTTCAACAGGATATCCTGAGGGGTAACGTTGGCGAAGATGAGGTCAATCTCGGTCTTGTCACCGGTGGGGCGACCACGAATGACAGCGCGGACGATTTGGAGCATGGGAGTGATACCAGTGCCGCCAGCAATCATACCAAAGTGACGGACCATGTTCGGGGTGTAGACGAAGGCGCCCTTGGGACCCCTGACCTTGAGCGTCTGTCCGACCTTCATCGATGCCATGTACTTGGAGATGTTACCGGTGGGGTAGGACTTGATCAGGAGGTCGAAGTAGCCGGGCTGGTGGTCGCCAGAAATGGGAGTGTAGGAGCGCACAATCTCCTTGGTGGTGCCATCAGGCTGGGGGCAGTTGGCACCAATGGAGATGTGCTGGCCGATGGGCAGGCCGAGGATGGCCTTCTCGCTGGGGAGGTTGAAGCGGTAGCTTCGGACGCTTGTCAGCTGGGAATTCCGGGCTTTGAAGCTTCGGAAGTACGACTTACATGGCGACATTGTGCGAGATGATGGTCTTCTCCTTGAGTTCAAAGTCCTGGAAGGTATCAGGCTTCAGGACCTTCTTGATCTCTGCGTGAGGGGGTTCGTCAGTGGGCAATTCCGAGGTATTCCGAGAGGGGCCGAACTCACGCATGGCGTTGAACTTGTAGGCTGCCAGCGCGAGCGCCAGGGCAACAGCGTACGGCGTCCATTCGCGCTTGGTAATGAAGCATCCGAAGACGATCAGACCAGCGGGAATGTAAATGTTGTCAAAGTATTTGCGGGTAGTCAATTCGGACATTTTGAAAATGGTGTCCGAGGACTCTTTTTCTCCACAGAAAGCGGGATTGGACGTGTAGCTGGGAGCTTGCTAGCTCTTTCGTTACGGGTCTAGGGAAATCTGGAAAATTTGCGAAAAAGGACAATAGGTCAGTCGGTGCCATGGATAGGAAACACGTGCTACTCACTAGACAACCGCGAAGCTGGAGTAATCGGGAAAGCTGTCGCAGTCAATTGGTGACGATGTCGAAGCTGGAAGGGCGAGCGTGCAACCAGATATCGTAAGATCGCGAAAGTGGGACAGCCCCTCCAATTTTCTGTTGAGTTGGGTTGCCGAGTTTCTGCCAGCCCTCGAACGGCGGGCGGTCAAGTGCAGCTTTGCGGTTGCGAAGTGCGTCGGTATGCGGAGGCCGGGGGCGGCATACGTGAAAGCGAGCCAAATTCGGCAAAATAATCCGACGGCAGATGCAGCAAGGTCCCGACCTCGGGCTCGGTTTGCTTGGGCGGGATTTAGGTTCGACGCGCGAGGTAGTCGGTCGGAATGTCGGTTCTGCAACTTCCTATGTGGCTTGGGCAGTATGTGGCAGTGTATGTGGCTGAGGCTTTATTTTGATTCTCCAGCCACAACGCCACAAGAGATGGAGGATGCACCTCTTGCCAAAGATCAACATGTTGATCAACCAGCTGACAGAGCTGAGCTGCAGGAGCTCTCTTGCTTTAGTCGCATTTGCATCTGAGGTCTATGTATCTGAGACATGATTGCCCCAAAACATTGGTGCAGGACTGCAGGTCAGTGACAATCTGGGCACAGATGATTACGATCAACCGCAGTCTCTCTTCGCTTCATCTTATTCACACCAAAAAACCGACTGTTGGCAACGTCATTACGCACGGGCGAATAGCCGGCATCATTCTCGCTTTTCCATCGACTGATAATCATACGCAAGATCAATTAGAAGTTCCAACTGCCGTTGGATGATAAGAGACATTCCTCGCGTGGTTCGTGTGGTAACGCTTACCAGGGAGGGCTTCGGCAACTTCGGGAAGAGGTCACCAACAAGCCACCAAAAAAAATCAATTTAACAAGGAAGGGGGGCGTGGGAGAACAGCAGGACGCCAGGAGCAGTTCCTGAAAAGCTACCATACACGGGAGCTTGCACAGCTAGGTGATGGCTAGGTACCATTAGTTCTGGTCCAAAACTTCAATGCGCCATCTGGCTTGCGACGATCCGGCCTGTTCCTCCAGTTCAACTAGCTATTCCCACCTTACCACGAAGGAAAATGAGCAGTCCGCCAGCTTGCTAGTCGTCTTGACAGCGCACGACTACCTAGCTTACGTTTGGTACGCCGAATTTGGCAGATCGGGCAACATGGCAGACATCGGTGAAAAGTATGACATCACTACAAACTGGCCCGCAGCGTGGCAGTGAGACGAAGAATCGTTGGAATGAAGTACTAGCGGAATTGACAAGATATGTATCCGTATCCAGGTCTCTCCTCTGACGGCCGTGGACGGAGTACGGATAGATACCACCGAGCGACTGGGAACAATCTGGAATGCTGTCTCTAAAGCGTTACGAGCGTCCAGGCCTGATGAGGGGAAATTCCGGGGGAAAAGATTCACTGATCGACCGGAAGCAAACTCCCAACATCCTAAACATCTGGCGCAAAAGTGTCGGGAAGTGGGATTTCTTCGCCTCGTCGTACGCAATTATGGCAACGCGTCCCTTTCCCCAGATGCAATCGAATTTTCTTAAAGATGGATCCCTGTATGCGGGAATATCGAATATCCAAGTCCTCACCCTATCCCTCCAACTCTTGTCTCCCCTCAGCCTGGCTGGTAGCGTCCTACGGAAGCAACACAGAGCTCGGGATGGGTACTTGGACCGATCATGGTGGCAGGAAAGGGTGAGACGGGCCGGACTGTCGAACGGGTTGCCGGCCGTTCCCCGCTTTTGACACCAAAGTAAGGTCCATCGTCCCCAAGGCATCCGTCGGACTGGATGCGGGAGGTCCGTGCCAGGTGGTTCAAGAATTAAAGGAGACGCGAAAGACAAGGGGAAAAACGTGCCCTCCGTGTTGCGGTATCACGCTTGTGTCGCGCGCGACTCGCTCGTTGAATCCATAAGTTGGACTGACTGAGCAAAGAGCGGCGCGTGTCGCGTGGTGAAGAAACATCCGAGAGGGCCATGGTCTTGATACCCGCAACGACATATCGAAATTGCGGCCGAAAGCAAGGATATATACTAGGTAAATGGAGAAACTTTGGATTACAGTGTTATACGGGCCACGGCCCGTGTCCAGGGCAACTGTTTACCTGCAGTCCTGCACAAGTCCGGCTCATTTCCAGGAAATGCGGACACCTTTATTCGCCTCACTTGATTTTATCGGGGGCGCGCCTTGGCCCAGGACTCGTGGTGGATTTTGCGGTTTGAAAATGATGATGATGATGATGGGATTGAACGCTCGCGAGTGGCGCATAAATTGTGCGGCAGTGGCTTACCGATGTGTTCCCCTTCTCAAGTTCTCACACATATGTAAATCCGTACGGAGTACAGGTGTAATACTTCGTATAATCATATCAGGAACGCCCCTGTCCTGACGGCGATCAGAGACAAGTCGCAATCTCGAGCCCTTGACAAGTTGTGGCCCCCGCCCGCTCCCAAAGCCCGGTTGTTCCTTGGACGTGACCCCCGTGCCCCCCAAATTTGGCCGGCGCGGGTTTGGTTTCACCATTCTTCGCATCCGTGGTGAAAAGGGTGCAAACTGCCTGACTGTAAAGAGGTGTTCGTTCGGCCGGGTCGTTGGGATGATCGCGTTGGCCCAGCCCAGCGTCTCATTCCTGGGAAATTTCCTTGGGATGGGTATTCTCTAATCTTTCAAGGGGGCGTGCCCGGGCGTCTTTAACACCCTTTAAATCGTTCCTCACCACCGTCTCTACTTCATCTGAAACCGGCCGCATGGCACGATGGCACCCTTTTTGAGCTTGACGCGGGCGGTCCAACAACTCTACCTGCATTACCCCAAATCTCTTGATAACCAACATTATCTGCCCAAACACAACCGCCGCAATGGTGTACTCTCGTGCCGACTGGTTCTGTTTCCCCCTTGGAAGTTCGTGCTCGCTATCGGCAAGGTGACAGGTAGCTTGAATCCTTTACCATTTGCCGGAAGGAGGCCTGGGTGAGGACGCCCAGCACACGTACGAACATGTACAGATCTTTGTAGTGCGCTTACACAGCCGTGGACAAAGTCACAAACCGAAGGGTCCCAAGACCAACTCCCTCTCGTATCCGTATAAATGGGGCTGACATGGCCAGGGGATTGACAGTCAGAATCCTCTTGGTTCATTTACCTTACCCGACTCATTCTAGAAACCAAAAAAAAAGTCTATTCAATGAACACGAGAGAGGGTTTCCCCTTGCTCTATGATGCAGCTTTACGCGCACGAGAATGACAAGACCCCTCCAGTCTCCAGAGGCCAAGAGAAGAGCGCCCTGAGCAAATCATTTCGGCGTGGAAAGATGCCGCAGCCGGGGGCGAGGCGGCCGAAGCGCAAGGAAAGGAAGGGGAAATTTGAAGCAATCTTGAGATATTTCAAGTCGCCGGGGCGCCCCCATTAAGCTGAATATTGATAGTGGCTTGAAACGACCCTTACTCTCGGCCTGACCGGCTCTAGCGCCGTCTCCACGGCGAAGGAGAGGAGCCTCATCATTCATGCTGCAGAAGAAAGTTTAGTTGAGAGAAAAAAAGAAAATGGAGAGAGAGGAGGAAATCGCAGCTAGCGAAGCATCAGGAAAATCAATCGATGATCACGATTTGAGAACCTTACAGTAGGACCCTGGATAACCGGGTCTCAGAGGCAAGAAGACAGGCATGGCTTGGCCATGGGCGTGGGCGAACTGAGCATGCCAAGGGAGCCATTCAGAGTTACTGGAAGATAACCCGCATCCATCGTCTTGGGCTTAGGTGACTCTGGGATGGCAGTGAACTTTGCAGAATGCGCGGCATCTACGGCGTCGGGCATCTGCGGCTACCGCAGTAGTGAAATCGGCGGTCGTGTGAAGGCCAAGGATAGGTAGGTAGAGTTCAGCGAGTGCGACTGTGCGACGACCAAGATACCTGGATAGCACATCACGCTATGAGACGTAAGTCCCGAGATGCCGGGAGCCACTACCTGCGATAGCCCACCGTAGCTGAGCAAGTATTGGAGATGACGGGATGGGCAGTACAGCTTGCACTATGCCGAATGGTAAACTTGGTAAGCGTTGACGTGCTGAAGTTGCACCGCCATTCTGCTGCGTACGCAGCCGCCGTCGACATACCGGGAGCGTAGCAACAGCATCCCAGGTTGCTGGTCACTGGTTGCGCGCGGCGGGCTCTGGTGGATGCAGAACCCATTTTCTCGTGTGGATTCAGGCGTGTTGGAACTTGGAAGTGGTACATGGTCGGAGACGGGGCGCCGCAAGCTGCATCTGCCATCGCCGGCCTCACGGCATGTAACTGAGGCGAGGAGGCACAGCAACAGGGTGGCACTGGAGGACTGGTACGCAGCCAGGCCAGCGAGTGAGGGGAGGAGGAGGAGTGCCGAGGAGTGCCGTACGGATGCGCCATGCGTGCCGTGATTCCATGGTAAAAAAAAAAAAAAAAAAATGCATGAGAGTGACGAGATGCACGCAGTTTCCGGTGGCCTCGCAAGCTCGTCAGTCGAATTCTGGTGGTACCGGCAAGGTGCAGTCTCCGAAGACGCCAGAGAAAGATAGCTAGGTATGGGCCGTATGGCCCACCCCTCCCCTTGGCAAGCTGGGAGCTACGGAGGAGCCAGAGCCACAGACCCATGGCACCATGATCCACGTAAAACGTGCATAATGGAGTGGGTAAGAGTGGGCTTTGGCGTATGTTTCGCTGCTCGCGCGTGGATATTCGTGGATATGTTGGAGCGGCCCTCTGGCCTGTGAAGGTTCGTTTCTCGATCTTTCGCTCAGAGTTCTCCTCTTCGTCTAGTGTTTTGTTTTGTGCGTTCTGTCTGTACATCAAACAGCGGCTGAGTGAGCTCCATCAACTTTGTTTTCAGCTGCCAGGAGTGGGCAGAACAACGTACCCATGTCGAGGCGGAGGAGAACTGTGAACAAGACACAGGCGATGGTAGTAGACTGTGGTGACTGTGTATTTGCGGGTAGGTATTGGAAGAAATGCATAGAAGATTGTACAGAGTAAGGATACACATGTTCTCGGTACCTTCCTTGTAAGTTGCAGGGGGAAAAGGGCCGCACACAGCAGAAACCCCACTGCAGGGCCAAGGCTTCCCGCTACGAGAAACGCCCTCTCATTGGTGACGTGCCCTTGTTCTTGCCTGCCTCTCTTGGTGTGTCTTTCCCTCTCTCTTTCCCATCGCCTTTTTTTTTTCTTGCAATGGCAGCGCCAGCAACAGAGAAACCCCGCGCCTGTCTCATTGGGCGACGCTTCCGGGGGCCAAAAACAGGATGTGCATCGATAACATCATAGCTGCATCAAGCTTCCATTCGCTGTCTTTCGCCTTTCCCCTATGGATACACGTACATTGGCACTCAGCACTGGCCTCTCCTACCTTACTCTCTCGGTCACTCTCTCTTTCACTACCTACTATGAGGCTATGAGGTGTACCTTACTCCGTAGACTCATCTCTTCCTCTCGCGTCTCCAAACCTCCTAGTTGAATGAACAAGTACCATTTCGTATCCATGCACCCCCCCCCCCCCCACCCTCCATGCTCCCCCAATTCCGCTTCCTCTTGTTCGCTGTGTGTCTCTCTTGCGCAGCGTGCCGTGAACACCATCTTCCCTGGTCTCTGAGGTCGTGTTTCTTCTCCAACATCTTATCCCAAATCCATCATTCCCATACCTGCCTCACAAACCCGGCGCTACCTATCCTCACCACTCACTCACCTCACTCACACTCGCCTTGAATCCGGCCAATGTACACATGCTTACTCGCCCGACTCTTCATATCTCATCCCATCTTATCCTTCCCTTGCCCAACCGAGTCCCTGATCTGACCGCACCTTGCCCGACTCGTGCTGCCTTGTCTCTCCCAGTGGCCAGGGTCAGGTCCTCTTCTTCCAAGACTCGGGACATCCATCCGCATCCACTCACCCTAATCGTCCGAATTTCACCCCTCGCTCGTTGCTACCACGCTATCCGCAAGACCGTAAGGATACCTAGCCTACCAAGTACCGCCGCTGCCTCCAGTCTTCCCTTACCTTTCCCAGCAAGGTTCCTGGTTCTTGCCGGAGGCTTGCTGCACTCCGGTCCTTTCTTCAAACAGCTATTCCCTGCTCCCAGAACCTACACGCACCTCTCCCTCTCTGACCAGAGGATAAGGACCGTCACTTATTAACACCCCTCCGCCGTCCACTTTCATGTGCACACACTTTTTGATCCCCTCATCTTCTGATACCTACTCCTACCTTCTGACAACTTCGTTTTCTCTACTATCTCGAACCCTCCAATCTTCGCTTCGTTAGCTCGACGACGGAGATACATAGCCCTCTATTGTCCCGCTCAACTCATTCCTCTCTCACCTTCTTCCCACCCAGTGTAAACAGCGCAATCGCCATAGTATTGAACCCATCTCGACGACTTGCCTTTGGATAACGTTACATGGCCCAATAATCGATTACTCGACCTTGACGGCCTCGAAGGCCCGATTTGGCCGAGGCATTCCCACGACGACGGAATAGGCTGGGCTTGGACCCCCGATTACTGCACGTCAAATCTGTCGACCATGGACGCTGCTGCGAACCGACGGTCAATGCTGCCCACCATTCAGACAACACATCATGGAGAGCCGCACACCGCAACTAAAAGCTCCGCCCCAGAGCTTCGGAGTGTCTCGACACCAGCGCTGGGTGGCAAGAGGCGTAGTTTCTTAGCAAAGACCTTCCGGAAGGTCAGCAGCAGTTCCTCCTCAACCGACCTTGCGTCCATGTCTGAGGAGGCCTCGAGCGGCCTCCAAATGAAGAGTAAACGCGTTCTTCACAAGAACAACGGATCCGGCGGCTCAAATTCGTCCTCTATTTTCTACCGCCTCAACCGACGAGCCTCCAAGGACTCTTCCGCGAGTTCGCACATGTCCGAGGAGACTCCCAACTATCTCAGCCCTCAGCCGCCAGCGCCGGTTCCTATCAAGATTCTCAAGCACGGAGCCTTGAAGACTGACAGCCGCCTGTGGAAATCGCGCGCCGAGTATGTTGTCTTAACTGATGGGCACCTCATCAAATTCAGCAGTGTCGAGTCAGCAAGGGCGAACTTTGCTGAGCTTGCCCCGCCGTCTCAGCGCCTGAAGAGGTCTTCGACGTCTTCCACTTTGAGTCAGGATGGGTCACACTCTGATGGTCGGGTCGAAATTCCATTGAGTAGGATCGTCAACATTTTCAACGAAGAGGGTGTAAGCCCTCACTTTGGATTGGATGTTTGGTGGTCCGAGACTTCGCCAATGGTATCTTGGGCTTGCACAAAGTTGTTCTTTGGAATGCCTACTGAGCGAGACGAGTGGATGTCGGAGATTCGCCATGCTATTCGTGAGTCTGTGGGCTCAGCTGTTGTGCCAAAGGGGCTCATTGCTCCCAACGTCGAGTCCGCCATTTACAACATTGTTGCTACACAAGAGCCCGCGTGCCGAGGCTGCCCATTGGATATCTTCCCAGTCGTTCAACGCACCACCCTCCTCAGTACCAAAGCCGAGAACATTGAAAATGCCAAAAAGTCTCGTGACGGATCATCGTATTACTTGCTTCTCGGCCAGAACAAGTGCTATCTTGTGCGAGTCGCCAGGACTTCCGTATACAAAGCTCCCCAGGACATCGAAATCAACACCGTAGTTTTTGGCTTGACGTCCCTGGTCCGCTTGAAAGCGACTATGGTCCCTCACGAGGAGCGGTTCGTTCTTGGATTCCGGTATGTGTCTGCTGTATTTTGTGGGCTGCCACCAGTGTTACTAACCCCTATTCAAGACTCCCTTGTGAAAACGAGAAACGACTCGAGCTGGCTAGTCGGTGGTACAGAGAGATCGTCATGACGTTCATGAAGGCAGATCGCGCAGTGAAGCCTGCTTGGCCTCAGCACATGCAACGGCACATTTTCGACATTAGGGGTCTCACCGCTCAGTTGCTCCTTCCAACTGGACAAGACTATGGTGGACTTAAGCGCACCCTCGAGGCGTATTGTGCGACGTTCCAGTGCAAGCCTCCCGAATGGACTGTGAATTGGAAATGCGAACGCCGGGAGCACTGCCCAGAATTTCGACTTCTCCCTGCGAAGGAAGCAGGTGGATACACGGCACTCCAGCTTTTGGCAGTCTTCAAGGCCCTCCGCTTCAATGACTACTTCAAGGCTCTGTCGTTCCGTGACGTCGATTTCTCGCCCCTTTGCGGGCTGACCGATGTTCCGGGATGGGACGAGTCCATAGCTGACATTTCTCGCGATGGTAAGCCGGCAATTCCTGAACCTTATCAAGCATTCAAGCTAACCGTGGCAGGATTTGTCATCGATCCCATGCATCGAGACATCATCAAGACTGCCCCACTGTTATCCCAGGAAATTCACGCCGTTGCCTTCACCTCTGGTTCTGTCCGTAAGATAGACTTGACCAACGTTCTGGCATCGCGGAACATTGTTGGTGTCTCACGCGCTCGTGCCGGGACCAAGAAGGATCCCGAGGTCGTTCGTCCTATCCTTCTTCTGCTCAAAACCCGCAGCACTCCTTGTGATACTTTGCTGGTTGGTGGGAACCCACTGACGGCAGCTGAAGTTGACGACCTTGGTGAGTGGACTACATGGGTTTTCACAACTCAATTGGCTAATGATTTTACAGTGGGCGTTCTCCATATTCCGGATCTTCTCAAGGAGCTCGACATTTCTAGATGCAACCTTGACGAGAGAAGCTTGGAGGAAGTCTGGGACGCTTTACCCTCCCAGGGATACAAGATGGAGGCTCTCAATACTTCTCGCAATATTGGACACGTGGATCACATGGCCGTGAAGCAGAATCTGGCTCATTTCTATAATTTGCGAAAACTCGGCATCGCAGGAAATTGCCTCACTCAGGCCAAGGATACCATCTTCCTCGACGAGACTATCATGGGATGGGGACTTGAGGAGCTGGATCTCTCACACATCAACGTAAGTCAAGTGAACCTTGTTTTCATGCAGTTGCTGATTCTGCTCTAGCTCAATGACGCCACATTGCAAGTCCTGGGCGACTACTTGAAGTCTTCACAGGCCGACTATCTCCGCAGGCTTGACCTCAATAATTGTGCAATGACCGGTTCCCAAATCGCAACTCTCTTCCGCAGCATGGGTGAAGCAAGAGTGATTACTTGCTCTATCAGTGGCAACTATCTCGAGAACGGCACGGACGATTTGGTATCTGCCATTGTTGACAATTTCGGGCCGACGTCCCTCTTCATGGATATGGTTGAATTTCAAAACGAAGACAACTACATCAAGCTCATCAACGCGCTCTCAGTCAACAAATCGATCCGACTGCTTAGCCTGGTGGGAACTTCAACCCCTGGACAAGTCAGCGAGGACGCCTGCATGGCCGTGTCAGAGTTCTTTGCCACGAACAAATCGGTCCAGTACCTCGACTTCTCCGGCTTTTCCGCCAAGCTCGACGAGGGTCAACTCGGCCTGGGCTTCTCGCGCTCTCTCTCCGGACTCGCCGAGAACAAGACGCTGCGTCACCTGCGAATCCGAAACCAAAAGTTGAACTTGAACATTGGTGATCTGGCACATGCGATCCAACTCAACCAAACCCTCACGACACTCGACGTACAGGAGAATAACTTCAATCTGTCCAACTTATCCCACATGGTTAGATCTCTTGACCACAATAGCTCTATCCAGGAGTTTTGCCCGTTCTCGCGGTCTGAGCTCAGCCGGGCTATCAAGTTCAGCGTCCAGAACGTCGGCATGCCAACGAGCCAGCCGACTTCGTCTCGAGCCCGCCGCGCGTCCAAGGTCCTTTCAAAGGCCACTTTTGACAACTTTGCAATGGAAATGGACAAGAACAATGCTCTCATGGAGAACTTGAAGGACGAGTGGAGCGTCAAGACGGCTCAGATTGAACGTCTTCTCGAGAGAAATCGGACCTTGAGTTCTGAAAAGGAGATGGCGATTATGCAGTGGGATCCTCAAGTGGAAGGCCAGGAGGATTGGATCGCCCTTGAGCTCGGCACTGTCTTCGGAGGCCTTGCCATCAAGGCAATGAAGACCCGACGCAAGATTATGCAGCCTGGCTATCGCGGCAGCGTATACTTTGGCGCAAATACTCCGCCTCTGGAGGGGATGGAAGAGTTTGGTGCCTCGGCAGCTCCTCACCATGTCACTCGCGAGGAAGTCATGGAAAGCCCCGCGACAGAGGTTGCCAGCGGGTCCTCCGGTCTTCCGACCCCTCCCGAATGGGCTCCTGCTGAGAGCCCCGTCAAGGAGTATTCAATTGCGTCCAGCGCACCACCGTCTCGCGATGCACCTCGCATCATCGATGAGAACGCTAATGAGTTCGATCTTTCTCTTCTCAAACACATGATACAACATGGATTCAACCTCGACGATTCGACGCAAGGCCAGGACCAGGACGTCGGCAGGAAAGCGGGGCCCTCAGTGTCGACCACGAGACTTAGATGAATCAAACACACAATCGAAACGAAGAACAAAAACATTGAAAAAGAAGGAACGAAAGAAAAGCGAAACGAAAAAAACACGAAAGACACCAACTCATGTGTCCCACATACAATCTCCCACGTTTACCAAATCATTAGACATTAGCGACGGCAACATCATTTTTTGTGTTTTCTTGTTTAACAAGGCGTTTATAAAAGGGAGAAACGGGTGTTTTGTTTTTTGGAATACCGCGCGGGATTGATACCCAGACTCGCAGCAATGCTCTAGTATTAGTGTTGGATTCTATCCCGTGCCATGGGCACGGTTGGCTTACAGTTTCGGCGTTGGAGGGTCCTCGCTCAGCATACTTACTTTGTTTTGGATTATGCCCAATGTAGGAATACTATCAGAGGATGGAGCATGCTTTGGTTGGAGGGTAGTCAGTTTCTCACCGATAATACATAATTGTGAGATTATTCAACATGGCTCGACCATGTCCGCTTCATAGTGAGAGTAACAGTAGTTCCGCGTCTTGCATTGATGATGTCTCCGTACATGACACGCATCGCCAACCCCGGATTTCGGGCCGCTGCATGCGGAACCCACCCGGATCCGGATGTTGCTGGCCATTGGCCGGCGTTGCGGGGGAGAGGAGGGCCGCATGTTCGGATCAGGTGGAATGGTGTCTGGACTCAGTAAGGGCGCAGCGACACCTTACTCTGTACCCGTAAAGGCTGAGATGTTTCACTTGAGCAGTACCCACCAAGACTTGCTGCAATCCCTGCATATACGCTACGCGCAGGCGGCTTGTATTTGCCGATGCGTTGGGACCACTGGCTACCATCTCCTTGTTTGCGCGGACCGACGTGTCGAAACTCTGATGCTGCAGATGCGGGGAGGGGGGCAAAGGCTGCAAGACACGAGGAGTGAGAATGTTGTATGGGGTAGAAGCTGTGGCTGTTTGGGCGGTTCGCCTGCTTGGCATAGGAACGATGTTAGTAGTCCTGCTCTGTAAGTCTGTAATAGGACGGAATGTGGCAGAGCACACTTGTCAGTAGAAGTTCCATGGACGCCTCTGAACAATGAATGGACTTGGACGGCACACACCTGAGAAGCTTCGATGCGTTTAACGAGGACCGAGCGTACGTTTAAGCGAATGGAAGTAAGAAGCGAGGTTGGGCTCACTACCTTGCCGACTCGAACCGAGATACCTTGCGCTTATTAGCCTTTCTGTTGGAGCACTTGCAGCCTCAATTGACAGGAATCTATCCTGCCTATAAGAATTCCCAAACAGACCAATTGTTGGAAGCTCTGGCCCAGATTCGGTTTTTGGACACAATGGTCCTGCGAAGCGTGAGGATGCTGGAGAAAGGCGCTCCGCTAAGGACATATGCACCTAATAACTGTACGTAGTTCCAGTCCATGCGGCATCACGTAATGTTCTGCAATAGGAGACCCACTTGGAGCCCAAGCCACATTTGGACACTGATAGATCCCTGTTTCGCTCTGCTGCCAGGCTTGCCAGGTTCCAACTGGGCAAACCAACCACTTCACCTTACTGGCCCCCCCGTTCAAGCCGCCGCACCTTCCTACTGAAACCTCCGTGTCAAGCTGGACACTTGTGAGCGCTTCGTCATCCAGCGTTGCCATCAACTCCGGCCACCACTGACTTTCTACTTTTCCCTATCCTCGCCACCTCCGCGACCTCTTGCTTTTGCAACTGTCACAAGAGGAATTGGCAAAGCGCTCTTTCAACCAACCTTGATCGACGGAGATCCTCCGCTCGTGACGTTCGTCTCACCCGATTCCCAATCCCCTTATCGTCCGAGTCTCCTAACCGTTCCATCAGGAGTTCCTCCATCTCTGTCCTTTTCTTTTCGAAGCCCGACATCCTCGTCGGCACCAATCACCCCGCCCATCATGTACTCGAACTCGAATGCCTTCCTGGGCGGCAATAGCCAACGGCCCGGCGCGCAGCAATATGGTGGAAGCTCTTTCGGCCAGCAGCCGGGCCAGCAGCAGCAGCAGCCGGGTCCTTTTGCTCCTCAGCCCACAGGCTTCGGCCAGGCGCCGTTGCAACAGCAGTTCACCGGCTACCCGGGGATGCAACAGCAACCGCAGCAGCAAGCTCCTCAACAGCTCCAGCCCCAGTTCACCGGCTTCCCCGGCCAGCCGCAGCCGCAGCAGAGCTTCCAGACCGGCGCTCCCCCGATGCCGTCGATCCCCTCGCAGTACCAGTCGCAGTTCCAGCAACAGCAGCAGCAGCAGCAGCAGCAGCAGCAGCAGCAGCCTCAGCAGACTGGATTCCCAGGTCAGCAACAGCAACAGCAGCCTCAGCCGACTGGTTTTGCTCAGCAGCAGCAGCCTCAACAGACTGGATTCCCAGGCCAGCTGCAAGCCCAGCAGACTGGTTTCCCGCAAGCCCAGCAACCTCAACCTACTGGCTTCCAGAGCCAGCAGCAGACGGCTGCCCCGACTCCTATCAAGCCCCAAGCCACGGGCTTTAGCCAGATGGCTGCTTCTTTCCGAACCGGGGGCACGCCGAAGCCAGCTGGTCGACGCCCTAAGTCTGCCAACAAGATTCCAAACATTCGACTATCGTTCATCACAGCTCCGGATCAGTCCAAGTTTGAGACTCTCTTCAAGTCTGCGGTTGGTGAAGGCCAGGCAACGACAATGTCCGGAGACAAGGCGAGAGACCTGCTGATGCGATCACGCTTGGACGGCGACTCGCTCTCACACATTTGGTCAGTGCCTTTCTAGCTTGCTCTTTGTAGTCAGTTGTGCTTACGGAGTATATACAGGACTCTTGCCGACACGACACGATCTGGAGAGCTTCACTTCCCCGAATTCGCCCTCGCAATGTACTTGTGCAACCTGAAGCTCACTGGAAAGTCCATACCCTCGACATTGCCCGAGAACATCAAGAATGAGGTGTCCAGCGTCGTGGACATTATCAACTTCAGCATTGCGGAGGACGCCGGCCGAGATACACCTGGCAGCACTGCTACCGGCAGGTCGAGCACCGAGCCCACGATTCATCAGCCTCAGCCTCAAACTTCCAACTCCCAGCTTCTGCAGGCACAGATGACCGGTTTCCCCGGGCAGCAAGCTCAGGGCTTCGGGCAGACACAAGGGCTGCAACCTCAGCAGACTGGGTTCCCCAACCTTAATGCGCAGCCGACCGGAATGAACCCGCAACCCACGGGATACAACGGGCCACGACCACCCATGCCACCCATGCCCACCGGGTATGGCAATAGCCTCACGCCGGGCGGAGGTCCAATGGCTGCGCCTCTGAACGCGCAGCCTACCGGCCGCCCCGGCCAATGGGGTCTTGTCAACGCCCCTTCCACGGGCCTGCCCAACATCGATGCTCTTCAGGCTAGAATGATGCCTCAGCAAGGCCGGGAGCAGGGAAGCTTCACTACGCAGGGTCTGCAGGGTAATGCCGTCATTCCTTGGGCTATCACCAAGGAGGAGAAGCAACGCTACGACGCACTCTTCAAGGCATGGGATGGACTTCACAAGGGCTTCATCGGCGGAGACGTCGCCATTGAAATCTTTGGACAGAGTGGTCTCGAGAAGCCGGACCTCGAGCGTGTCTGGACCCTTGCTGACAATGGTAACAAGGGTCGCCTGAACCTGGACGAATTCGCAGTTGCTATGCATTTGATTTACAGGAAGCTCAATGGATATCCTTTGCCTAACCAGCTGCCGCCTGAGCTTGTTCCTCCCTCGACGAGAAACTTCAATGAGTCTATCGGCACCATCCGATCAATGTTGAGCCAGGAGTCAGAGTTCCGTTCCAAGTCTGGTGCAGCTCTGCTTCCTCAGAAGACTGGTGTCAGCTACATGAAGACTCACTCATTGAGAGGCACCCCTGGCGGCCAGAGCACTGGGCGTAAGGATGCCACAGTTTTCAAGAACAACGATGAACAGGTCGGATATAGGTCTAGTGCTCGTCGCCGTGTTGGCAACAACTCGCCCCGCCCCGAGTCGCCATCCTCTACCGCATACGATGACCTTGGACTTGATCAATTGAAAAAGAAGATCCGAGAGAAGGAAGTCCTCCTCGACGCCATGGATTTTGCTGATGAGAAGAACTTGGAGGAGGACGACTTGCTCGACAGACGTGACCGTCGGGAGGCCGAGGAGCTGTACCGCCGCATTCGCCGCATCCAGGACGACATTGATGCGAACCCGGATGCTGCACTTTCGTCGGGAGACTCGGAAGCTGAGAGACGATCCTTGAAGCGACAGCTCCAGAATCTCACAGACAAGGTCCCTGAACTGGCCTCTGCCGTCCGCAAGACCGAAAAGGCTATTGCAGAAGCAAGACTCGAGCTCTTCAGGCTCAAGGATGCAAAGGCTCACCCGAACAGTGCCGCTGCTATTGTCGGAACTGGTCCTGGCGGCGCCGTAACAGAGTCTGACAGACTGAAGGCTCGGGCCAAGGCTATGATGCAGCAACGTACTGCAGCCTTGACGGGTAAGAAGGTTGAGTCGAGCTTCGACGACGAAGGCCCCAAGCGCCTTGAGGAAGAGAACCATAAAATCAAGACCGAGAAGGAGAACAACGAGAGCATGGTCAGAGACGTGGAAGATTCTGTGCGTGACTTTGCTCGCGGTATTGAAGACAACTTGAAAGAAGGCACCACGACGGCCTCCAACGAACATGAGAAGCGACGCTGGGAGGATGCTCTGGGCGTCGAGGATGAAGTCAGAGATTTCATCTTTGATCTTCAGCGATCTAGCCGCGCTGCGCGTGTTCGGGCACAGGACCGTCGTCCTACTTCCTCGTCTTCGCCTTCGGCTGCTCGTGCATCCTCAAGAGAGCCTGCTGCGGCCAGCCCCGCCGCCCGCCTCGAGAGCCCTGCGCCTCCCTCGCGCACCACTACTCCCGGAGGCTCGTACTCTTCTTACAAGACCCCCGAGGAGCGTGCTGCTTTCATCAAGCAGCAGGCTGAGCAGCGTATGGCTGAGCGACTTGCTGCCCTGGGTATTAAGGCTCCTACTAAGCC